GCATAATCTAGTCATAACTGGATTACTCAACTCTCCAAGCCAGTCTCTCAACCGGAATACATAGATAGGTTTCAAGGAAAAACCAAGAAAATGTGGGCTCTGTATTCTTCTTGTATGCCAGGGTGAGTTATGAGATGTTTTGCTTTGTTTTCCCTTGTGAGGGCAACTATATAATTTGCCTAAGGGTCTCAAAAGGGTATGGAAAGCAATAGAAGAGAATTATCACCTCTACAATGATGGATTTCTGAGCAGAGAACTGGAACACAAGGATGAGGAGAGCAAAGGACAGAGCACAGCAATGAGCTCCATGATGGATGGTGAGGTCATTGAGAGGCTGTTGATGTTGTTAATTGTCATGGATTTGACTCTAAATCATGGGAGCTCTGGTGGCTTAGTGCTTAAGGTATTTGACTGCTAACCAGAAGGCTGGTGGTTCAAACCTACCAGCCACTCCTTGGAAGGAAGATTGGGCAATCTACTCCGTAGAGATACCACCTTGGAAAGCCAACCACTAAGTCATGGTAGCATTATCTACAATGGAACAAAATGTTGCCTAGACCTGCTTCTTCCTCAAAATCACCAACTTCTTTGCATCTATTGTAGTAGCTATAGTACTAGTCCCTCTCGGTAAGGGTCTCACTTTCCCTCACTGGCCCTTACTTCACCAAACATGATGTCCTCCTCTAGGATTGAACAGGAGGTCTGGTAACATAGTGCCTAAAGCACTTGACTGCTAACCAGAACACTGGTGGTTCAAACCCACCAGCCACTCCTTGGAAGGAAGGTTGGGCAATCTACTTCTGTAATGATACCGCCTCAGAAACCCAAGGAGGGGTCGCTATGAGTCGGGTCTGACTCGACAGCACATAACAACAACAACAACAACAAGGATTGATCCTTCCTGATGAAGTGACCAACACAACTGAGTTGAACAATGTTTTGAGATCTGTAAAGTTTTGGAAGCAGATCACTAGGCCTTTCCCCCCACTCTGTCTTTGTCTGGAAGTTTCACTGGAATCCATCCACCATAGGTGACCCTGTCGGTGTTTAAATTGCCAGTAGCACAGCTTCTAGCATCTTGGTAACACTCAAGCCCCCACACTATGAAAAACTGGCAAAAGGCATTGAGAGGACTTTGGGCAAGAGTCGCTTGTGAGAGGATAGGGAATAGAAAGATGCAAGATTAGAAGAAACAATGTATGCCAGAATACATAGGATAGGTATTGGACACAAATTTTACCCATATGATATTTTACATAAAAAAAAACTATATTGGTGCTATACAACTGCATAACATCATTGCTTGCAAGGTACTTTTTACATGTCACACCAAATACTAAGCACTTTATATGCAATATTTCCTTTCAGTTTTCCTGCAATCATAATGAGAAAATTATTATTATCCTCCATTATTCCCATAAGGAAAATGAGAACAGGGAAAATTAAATAAATTTTCCAAAATTTTTACTAGTTGCCTTCCTCTTGAGTCCAACTCTTGGGATGACCCCATCTTGGTCAGAGTAGAACTGTGCTCCAAAGGGTTTCAAAAGCTGATTTGTCAGAATTAGATCACCAGATCTTTCTTCTGAAGCACCTCAGTGTAGACTCAGACCTCCAGCTTTTCAGTTAGCAGCACGTCAACCATTTGTACAATCTATGGTCGATGTAACTTTAAATCAGTGGCATCAGGATTCACATTGAGATCTATTTATTGCTCATCTTGTTAATTGTATAACACTGTGCATATCTTTATTATCTGTTAGATCCTCCATGATTCACAACATTATAATGTAGGCAGGAGTGCTGAAGCAGTCTGATTTCATAAATATTTACAGCCTTGGAAGCCAATGGGGGACGTATGAGTCAGAATCGACTCAATGGCAGTGAGTTGGTTGTTATCTTTGGTTTTCATGAGTGTTTACCACATGGCAGGCAGTGTGCTCTGTCCTTATACTGGTCATCTGCTTTAACCTTTACAACAACGTTGTTGTTTTCGGTTGCTGGTTCATTGATTTCCTCCATAACCCTGTTGTTATTGCTGTTGATCAATGTGTTAATAACAATCCTCTAAGAGATAAATGATCTCTGCTTTACCCATGAGAAACAGTAAGACTTGACTATTTTGATTAGTGATTTCTTCCAAGTCCCACAGCCTTTAAGTGATGGACATAGAAATTCAATCCATGTTCATACTAAAAAGACAAGTCTTTTTTTTAGGATTTCAGCCATCTTTAGTTTGAGAAGTGAGCTCTGTTTTCTGAGACATGCTTAACCCACCCTTCATGATATATAATGACAGAGAATCTATTGTTTACATGAAAAATGCCTTCCTCACAAACCCACACATTTGGGAAAATAAATTATCAGATATATGCTCAGGCTAATTACTTTGTGGGCACATTTCTATGCTCTTCCTATGTGTCTGCAAAAAACTCAGACTCCAGAGAATACAGGTGCCAGGAAATACATGTGGGCTACCACACAATCCTGCTCAGGTGGTTTTAGGGAAAAATGATATCATTAAGAGACCACTTAGAAAAGAGATTCTGCTGGCTTACTTCTCTTTAGAATCAAGGTGGTCCACTCATTCATTCATTTATTAATTCCTAAAACAAATATTGATTATGTATCTATTATATGGCAGACACTATATAAGACACACTATGACTATACTAGGAGCTCTTGTGGTATAGTGCCTAGAGCCTTTGACTGCTAACCAGAAAGCTGGTGATTCATATCCAACAGCCACTCCTTGAAAGGAAGGTTGGGCAATCTTCCATAGAGAGGACAGGTCATCATGAGTCATAGCCAACTCAACAGCAGTGAGTTTGGTTTGATCTTTGGTTTATGACTACACTAAAAAACTAAATAGATGAAAATTTCTCCTTTCATAGAGTTTGCACCCTTGTAGTTATTGTTAGTTGCCATTGAGGTTATTCCAACTCATGATGCCCCATGTGTTGCTGAGTAGAATTTCTCCATAAGATTATGAAAGCTGTTATATTCTGGAAGGAGATGGTCAGGCCTGTCTTCTGAGATGCCCTTGGGTAGGTTTGGATGACCGCCATTCAGCTAATAATCAAGCACTTCACGGTGCCACGCAGGGACTCTGTTTACACTCTACTGAGCTTCTGCCTCTTCTTGACCCAGTGATACAGTGGGCCCATGAAAAGGTGCATGGAGCACTCTATCCCTGCAGAAAATTTGACCTTCATTGATTTTTCTCCAGTTGTCTACTATTCCTACATATAACTCCTACAAGAATCTTATGAATAGCAATTTGCAAATTTTGGACTTATGGAGAATTTCTTGACAAAATAGTAAAATACCTTAAGGAACATTTTTGAAATATGTGGTCATATTTTTGATGATCACAAAGATTGGCACCCCTCCTGGCCATTTAGCATATAAGACACAAAGATGAATGGTGTCCTGCACCCACAGGACAATCCCATGCAAAGAAACATGTCCAACTCTTTATATTCAGTCTTGGTAGATATTCATGCATGTGAAGCTCTTTATAATGATAAATCTGAAATCTATTACACTTCATAAATAAACACAGTGTGTATTTTGCAAAGTTTTAATATATACAAATTTTTTAGAGAACTGCAACGACCCTGAAAATTAAGAGAAGATTGCAATCTCTTTTCTTTGAAATGTTTTTAAAGAAGTATTCGTTATTCCAGGAGAAAACATGTTACATATCCAAAAAGTATATTTTGCAAGGTTTAATATCTAACTCACCTTGGAATTCAAAATTGAAGGAAAGCTATCACTCATTTTGTTGCAGACTTAATCAAGAATTGTTCCACTTGTGAGAAAAATTATGCCACCAACGTGAATAATGCCACTTGTGATATCTGAGTCATAGATATTTCCATGGGGATTCTAAATATGTGTGTATGTGTATGTTTCATTAAGTATTTCCATCATTTATACAATTAAATTGGCATTGTTTTATAGAATTCATATATTATTATCATAATGTAATAATTATATAATAAAACACTTTTCTTTTACCTAACTTTGTATTAGACTTAAGATATTTCCATACACACACACGCACACATATATATAGTAAGTAGATTAAATGATCTGTAAATCTCATTTCAAAAGTATAAAAGAGGCATTAAAAATGTTTGTTCATATAGAATAATATTAAATGATAATATTTGATACTATAGAATAAACTATTGTTGAAAAATGTCAAATACTAATGCTTGATAGTTTAGGATGATACTAAATTCTTGAGTTTAGGACCCTGAAAGATCCACAGTGACATCAAATTTCAATTAGTGGGCATAACCAGATGCATTCGGTTGGTTATCTCTACTCTGAAATTTCACCCCAAACTCAACCTGGTCCTCACTCTTGGAAATTATGATAAGGGTCCTCCAGAGTAGCTGAGAAGAACGCTTCCTCTATATTTGCAGAAGAAGAGGATGTCATCATTTTGTAAACTGTGAGGACCTTCCTATCTCTCATGGGATCTGACCAACTTGCCCATAGCTACCTGTCAAATGAGAGAAGCAGGGTTTTCCTCGTTGTTCAAATACAAATAGCTCCTCTCCCAGAATGTTCTTAATCCATGACAAACTTTCATTTTTTAGGAACATTTGACATTACCTAAAACTGTTTCTTTTCTAATTGTTATTTGCCTCTTCCTTATGCAACAAAACTCTTAAGAGTAAGAACAGTATTGGGCCTGGAAGAGCACCGGGGGACAAAACAACAAAACATTGCTTTGAAAAACAATGAATATCATTCAGCAGCATTATGGCTCTACTGCTACAAGTACATTTTATTGAAGTGAATATACTGAGACTCAGAGAACTCTTATCTTTTTCAAGTCAGGATTCCTGCTCAGATCTCCTACTTCTAATACCCTGAGTCTGGACCACACCACATGTACATAGAACATACATTGTGTTCATTTTGTATAAGTTGAGGGAATTAAAACCTTCTCCACTCCAATTATAGGTGAAGTGTCCTTTCCCATGGAGAGGGGCAATCACACTGTGACTGAGTTCATCTTGGTGGGCTTCACAACAGACCCTGTGATGCAGTTGATCCTATTTGTGGTGTTCCTTGGTGTGTACTCTGTGACTGTGATGGGAAATACCACACTCATAGTGTTGATCTGTAATGACTCCAGGCTCCATATACCCATGTATTTCTTCATTGGGAATCTATCTTTCTTGGATCTCTGGTATTCTTCTGTCTACACCCCAAAGATCCTAGTGACCTGTATCTCTGAGGACAAAAGCATCTCCTTTGCTGCCTGTGTAGCTCAATTCTTCTTCTCTGCTGGGTTGGCATACAGTGAGTGTTATTTGTTGGCCACCATGGCTTATGACCGCTATGTGGCCATCTCCAACCCCTTGCTTTATGCTCAGGTCATGTCAAAAAGACTGTGCACCTATTTGGTTATATGTTCCTACATTGGAGGTTTTGTCAATGCAGTAATACTCACCAGCAACACGTTCACATTGGATTTTTGTGGTGACAACGTCATTGATGACTTTTTCTGTGATGTCCCACCTCTGGTGAAGTTGGCATGTGATGTGAAAGAGA